ACCTGAACCAGCCAGGCCTCTCCCTGACTCGCAGGCAGCACCCTGCATGTCCACTGCAACACACCCAGGTGGCCTTAGAGTGCAGCCTGACTGGACGCCTCTCTGGGAGCCAACACGATCTCCACCGCGTACCCTGCTGATAGGTACACTAGTGAGCGCCCCAGGCACCTCCAGATATAGCTCGTTTGTGCTGATCTCTCGATCTTGTCCCTCGTGTTTTCGCTCTATGTGTTCTTCTCGATGAGCCACTCCTGTGTCATGAGTTCCTTTGCTTATTTGGCCTTTTATATGTGTTTTCTTTTTTTGAGACAGGGAAGTCTCACTTGGTTGCCTGGCTAGCGGAATGGACTGGTATCTCATAGCTCACAGGCAACCTCAAACTCCGGGCTCAACGTGTGATCTTCCTGCCTCCGCCTCCTGCAGTAAGCTGGGACTATCAGTCTCGAGGCCACTACATTCAGATAATTTTTTGTTTTCTATTTTTGTTGAGCTGGCTAATAACTTTTTCTATTTTGGTGAGACTCCTTGGCTCAGCTGTCTTGACTCCTGACCTCAAGCGAATCTTCTAGCCTCGAATGCGAGTCCTGGGGATGGCACCTGTCAGCACACCCAGGGAAGAGCAAGGACCCTGGGCCTTGGTGCAGGACGGGGCTGGGGAGCCCTCCCAAACTCCTCAGGGGATGTCCAGGAGATCTGGCAAGAAGGGATTCCAGGCCAGCAGGCCCTGGGCTGCCCCAGCACAAAGTGCAGGCCACTGGAGACCCGCTCCCCGGGGCCCCCCAGCCCGAGCCCCCAAGCGGGCCTGACCGGCACACGCTGCCACCTCAGGTGTCTGTGTGGGTGGCAGCCTCACCCATGCCACAGCCACACAGATGCAGGCTCAGCATGCCCACTTTGTAGGAAAACCTGATCTCGGTGCCAACAGCCCCATGTGTCCCCGCCTGTTACTCGAAAGCTGAGGAATGCTTTTCCAAGTGTGATTCTGTAACAGAAAGTGCCCTTTTTAAGGAGTGGAAACTCTTCACCCGATCTCACCACACAGAGATGGAACGAATCTAAATCTATTTATCCTCGCAAAAGTATTCCCTTGAGTGTAACAGAAAGCTAAATTCCACACATTCTCTCTTGATCACTTCTGCTCCACAAAAGCAGTTGCAGAATCAGTCAGATGTGGCCAACTGGTGAGCCAGCCTGCAACCAGAATCCAGTGTCCCCAGCAGGCAGGGGGACGTGCGTGGGGGACCACACATGTGTGTGCCAAAAGACGTGTGTGTCATGGAACACGTGTGTGTGCAGCACTGGGCAGGTGTATGTGTCATGGGCCGTGTGTGCGCAGCCCAGGGCATGGATGCAGTACAGGGGACGTGTGCAGCATGGGAGGACCGTGTGCGGTACAGAAGACCCACCACCCTGGAGCTCCAGGGCCCCACACGTGCCCTCCTTGCTGGCCTCCCGGTCCGTGTTCCAGCCGTTTCCTTCCTCCCCTGGGACCTCCCAGGGCCCCTGCCCAGCTCCATGGACAGGCCGTCCAGCCTAAAGGGCTTCCAGCCACTTCCAGGCCCAGATGCCTGCTGCACCTCAGAGGAAACACATGGAAAAGTACCTGTGGCTCACCTTAAGGGCATGGCTGAAAATATCACTTGAAAAGATCTTTCTAATTTTGCTTTCAGAGTTATTTGGCTAAAATTAATCTACACAATCTATGTTTGTTTCCAATTTCTAGGCAGTCATCCAAGATACTTGGACATTCTTGTAAAGTGACAAAATCTAACCTACAAATTGTTACCACTTTTCAACAGATGATCTTGACATCAGTATTAATAAAAAAAAAATCACTGAATTTTGACGCTGATCTTTAAACTAGCACAGAAAATGCAGGCTGAATTGTGCAGAGAAACCCCCTGGGGAGTTGAGCCGGCTCTCAAACCACTGCAGCACTGCAGCACCGCGCGCCCCCTGCCGGGCATAGGAAGAGCCGATTTCTGTGCAGGAGGCGGGAGGACGCACCCTGCATCCCACCTACTGGCTCACACCCCAGCAAGTCACTGGGCCTGCAAAGGCTCAGAGGTCATGTAAGGTTGCTTGCAATATCCGTTGTTTCCTGCCACTGAGCTTGCAAAAGACACGGAGGGAAGGCTTTGCCGGCCCAGGACTCTGGTCTGGTGGAGCAGAAAGTGCTTCCTTAGGCTGTCGTCATTGTGCCCATGCAACACCAGGGGTGACTGGCACTCCTGGGTTTTAGAAGAGCCTTTACTATATCGATGTGATGTGTTATTGTTAAGTGGCTTGATTTAATGCTCCTTGGAATATTGCCCCAGTAAGAGACATGTATCCAATCTCTAGAAATATGAGTCTATTAGAGGGCAACCAAGTGCAGAGTTTTTCTGTTTCTGTGATATTCCAAATAATGTTAAAAATTCAAATTTGTTAAATGGAGTGAACAGTGTGCAGAGATCCTTGATCAAACCTGATGTCACTCACTGCATGTGATAGTTTACTACCACGCGCCCAAGGAGAACGCACTGGCCAGGCCTCGTGTACACATACAGAGCCCTTCAAATGATAATGCATGTGTTTTCTGAGCTCCAAATTGGAACATACGGATCTAATGAAAGGTTTTTAATTGGCAAAACCCAGAGCAAGACAGTCTGTTCCATGCCCCTTTCCTAGATGAGCTAGAGGCTTCTCACCCTGAGGCCAGAGTCATCTTTCTCAAACTCACTCCCTCCAGTGGATTGCTGGGGCCTTCCCTTGCCCTGAGGAGAAAGGGCCAGAACAGCAACCTCCAAGGGCGCCACCCACGCAAAGGCCTTCCACCTGCCCTGAGAAAGGAGTGATTTAAAGGAGTTTCCAGGCTGGGTGCAGTGGCTCACACCTGTAATCCTAGCACTCTGGGAAGCTGGGGTGGGAGGATCACTTGAGATCAGAAAGTAGAGACCAGCCTGAGTAAGAACAAGACCCCACCTCTGCTAAAAATAGAAAAATTAGCCTGGTGTGATGACACATGCCTGTAGTCCCACCCACTCAGGAGGCTGAGGCAGGAGGATTGCTTGAGCCCAGAAGTTTGAGGTTGCTGTGAGCCATGAAGATACCACTGCACTCTAGCCTGGGGGACAGAGCAAGACTCTGTCTCAAAAACAAAACAACATAAAAACATAAAGGAGTTTCCAGCTCTAGGTTGGGCCTAGGTCGGAGTGGTCTTCCTCCTTCCTGCTATCTCTAAGGTAAACTAGCAGATTCCTAGTATAAGCCAGAGAGGGAGAAGTTCAGAATTCTGCAAGGTAGGCATTTGTTAGGCGGGTTTTATGCATTTGTGTCTTGTTTTGCTCTTAAATATCCTTTTACTTTCTTCTCAACTTGACACTGAGTAAAAATCAAAGGTTTGTAGCCCTCTCTGGTGCAGTCTGGAGCCCTACCTGTTTTAAAGGCCCAAGCAGAGTTTTGAGACACTCCCCTATAAAGGAGGAAATGGCTTGAAAAAACATTTTTTTCTGTCTTCTTAAGGAATCCTCCACTCCTTTTTGAGAACTAAAACCTGCATCCTTGCCTCAGGCCAGTGGCTGGAAGGGGCAGGTAAGTCTTGTGTCATTTGTGCTACAGGAGATTGCCCAGCCCCCACCTGGTAAAGGGAGGTCCTGGCTGGAGGTCAGGGGATTGTCTTCTGCAGAGATGATACTGCCTGAAGCTGAGGACCCACCCTTTAAAAGCTCTGTATTTTGCTTATTACGAGGATGATGGCATTTCAGACAGGAGCCTCCATCACCCTCCTCTTTTGCTAGCAAAGTAATAAAATGTCCCTTTTCTTCCTCCTCAAACTATTTGTCCTCATTCTTCTGATTCAGCCTCATGGATAAGTGCCGAGCTTTCGGTAACACCCCCAGCACCCCAACTTCTTGGGAGACTAGAGGAAGAGATTTCTCCACGGTGGGGTCCTTGGAAGCCGCCTGGCCCAGCTCCTCTCTCTAGAGATGACCAATCTCCTCCTTTATGCCCAAGAACCCAGGTGTGATGGCCGGTGCCACCCACTGAGGCAGGCGTCCTCGGTTTTCCAGCAGCAAGTCTACAACATTCTGGGGACATAACGCAGGACACCAGACTCAGGGATACCCCGACTTTGCTTTCTCCTTAGTCAGAAATTATCTCATGAGCACAGAGGGGCTAACCCGTGCAGGGCCAGGTATCCTGGGAACGTGTGTCGAGTTCCATGTGCACACCCGAGGGCCAGGAAGAACACCCCGGAAGGGCCTGGCACAGGGACCACTGTTGTTGTGCCCACTCTACAGAAGGTTGGTCAAGATCACACAAATTGCTAAATTCACATCTGATCCCAAAGCTTGTGCTGTTGATGATGAGAAGGTCTAAATCCTCCTAGGGCCCCCGGCCCAGCCCCACGAGGGAGGCCGTCGAGCAGAACGGACTTCCTCCCAGCCCCTTCAAGACCATCCCGAGGCCCAGAGGCCCGGCCTCACCTCCAGAGCAAACTCGCATGAATACCTGCGGCCCAACACACTCGGTCTTCCGCCACAGAGCGTGCTGCTAAGGGGGCAGCTGTGGACTGATGAGCAGATGAGCTGCAAACGCTCTCCTCCAAGTGCTGGGGGAGGGCCAAGCAGAGGCAGCCACCCCGGGCGCGGGTTCCTCAAGCTCAGTGTGGACATGTGCAGAGGACGTCCCAGCTTGGGACACTGATGCGGTCCTTACACGGGGACCCCACCAGCACAAGCGGGGCCTGGGCCTGACGTCCGAGCAGGAGCCACCGCTGGACAGGCAAAGTTGCTGGGTGCAGCTCCAGCAGGACACAGCGCTGCCTGCGCAAGGTCAGGTTCCGTCCCCACCCTCTGAGTCTGCGGGCAGGTGACAGCACTGACAGGCCAGTGGGACCCAGGAGTGGCGGCAGCGCACGTACTTGCAGGAACCTCAGTGCTGCATGGTGTCACTCACCCGTTATCCAGTCCGTTCTGCCCGAGTTTCTTCCCCATGTCGCCGACCATCACCCCTGGCATGGGAAGGAGGGTCTTTGGGTCCCGAATCTGTGCAAAGCCACAGAGGGCAAACGGTGACTGTTACGATCACACAAAAAGCCAAATAAATGTGTTCAAACGCCCCAAGGGCACACTGTGGGTGGCTGTGGGTTAAACCGTGTTCTCCAGCGATGACATGCCTCCGTCCCAGTCCCAGGATTGGAGGATGGACCTTATTTGGAAATAGGGCCTGTGCAGATGTGATGAAGCTAAGGGTACTGAGGCCTTAACCCGCATGGCATGTGTCCTGTGAGAGCCGGAAGAAGAGGGGCCGAGTGAGGACAGAGGCAGGGAGTGGAGTGCTGTGGTCACAAACCGAGGAACACTAGGAGCTGAAGGGACAGGAAGGGTCCTCCCCTGGAGCCGCCAGAGGGAGCACGGCCCTACAGAGGCCTTGGTTTCAGACTTCCGGCCTCCAGAACCAGCAGAATGCATTGAGCTGTTTGAAGCCCCCAGTCTGTGGCGCTTTCATCCAGCAGCCGCGAGACTCGCAGGAGCAGCTGGTGCACGCCGCTCAGACGGAAGACGTCCGGAATTTCGTACTCCATGTTTTAGACACAGGATTTTCCGTTGGATTTTAATAAAAGGATGAAATGGCTACACACATATGTGCTATGGGTGAAACAGCCAAGATTATTTTGGCAAATCTCCACTCCTTAAGATAAGTTGAGGATAAGTAAGTATACTGACCAGTAAGTATACTGACCTAAAAACCACGGACGCAGCTAGCTGATGCTTGCCCGACACAGGAGCTTGGGGACAAGGACATGGAGCTGCATTCTTGGTCACAGGAAGCAAAGATTCCCAGCCAGGGGGCTTCCACCTTCCCCTGCTCCCCCAGGGACACTGGGCAATGTCTGGGGAGAATTCCCTCGCCCTAACTGAAGGGTGCTAGTGGCGCTGAGTGGTAGAGGCTGGGGACGCTGCCGCACACCCTAGAGCGCCCGGGGTGCCCCCACCGAGCATTACTCGCCCACGTCCGCCCAAGTAGAGAAACCTGCTTTAAAGAAATATGGAATTTGTACTACCTGGAACTTAGCTATCTGTATAAATTGTTAGCTTTTGCTTATTTCTGTGAAATAACTATCAAACTTAATTGAACTTTAAAATAAAGATATTTAAAAAAAAATTTTTTTTTTTTGAGACAAAGTCTCACTCTGTTGCCTGGGCTACAGCGCCGTGGCATCAGCCTAGCTCACAGCAACCTCAAACTCCTGGGCTCAAGCAATCCTACTGCCTCAGCCTCCTGAGTAGCTGGGACTACAGGCATGCGCCACCATGCCCAGCTAATTTTTTCTATATATTTTTAGTTGTCCAGCTAATTTCTTTCTATTTTTTTAGTAGAGACAGGGTCTCACTCTTCCTCGGATTGGTCTTGAACTCCTGAGCTCAAACAATTCGCCCACCTCGGCCTCCCAGAGTGCTAGGATTACAGGCTCTGGCCAAAATAAAGATATTTAAAAATTTTTAAAGTTCTAAAACCCAAATGTAAAACATCTTTACTTTTTCCTGAAGTCTTTGAATAAAGCCAGGCTCGGTGGCTCATGCTTATAATCCTAGCTCTCTGGGAGGCTGAGGTGGGAGGATCGCTCAAGGTCAGGAGTTCAAACCAGCCTGAGCAAGAGCAAGACGCCGTCTCTACTAAAAATAGAAAGAAATTAATTGGAAAACTAAAAATATATAGATAAAATTAGCCAGTCATAGTGGCACATACCTGTAGTTCCAGCTACTCGGGAGGCAGAAGGATTGCTTGAGCCCAGGAGTTTGAGGTTGCTGTGAGCTAGGCTGACGCCACAACACTCTAGCCCGGGCAACAGAGTAAGAGTCTGTCCAAAAAAAAGGCTCAGTAAAGAAAAAGACATAAACTTTTTAAATAAATACTAATTTAAAAAGTTGGAAAAAAAGTAGAGGTGAAGAGGACAGACACATCTATGAAAAAAGCTGGTATTAATAATTTTTAAGTAAACAGAAAGATATGCAAGTTTTCAGTTCATCTAGAAATAAATGATATGATTATAAATATTATTATACCTCTTGAATCAAGGAAAGATTTCTAAAGTCAAGAGCAGAAGTAATATCATACTTATCTCAGAAATAGTTAATTGACCAAGTTACACATAATATTCCTGTGATATTTAGAGATTGCCAACATGACACAACAGACCCGCAGAGCATTACATCCCTCGGCCGGGTCAGCTAAGGGTCTGGTGCGCGAGTCCCACTCTAACTAACCATCCTGAGGTTGCTCACTGCCGTCTCTCCTCACCCGGGAGCCTGTGAGCTCCACGAGGTCGGACCCGAGCGCTGTGCCTGACCCGGACCAGCACCCGGCACTTTGCCGGGTGGAGGATGACACCATCCTACTGAGTGTTTTTAGCATGATATAAAGAAGTCTGAAACGCTGAGGCTCCACGGTCTAAAAATCAGACACATTGAAAGAAGCTGAATTCCAGTCCAGGCAATTTCCATAAGAAATTCCCTTTAGGTACAAATCTGTGCTCACAGGAACAATGTGCCTTAGGTGACAATGATACTGAATAAATATGGTCTCTGCCCCACTCCCAGCACACAGCTCCCAAAATCCTCGAATCCTGGAGTGACAGTGTGGCTTCTGTGTGCTAGCGAGATGGCTGGGGGCCTGGACTGCGTCAGGAGGGGGCTGGTCACCACACACCCAGACAGGACTCAGGGGCTGGGACTGTCAGCCCCACCCCACCTCCATGGAGGAAAGAGGGGCTGAGCGTGGGGTGGTCACCAATGGCCAGCGGCGTCATCGACCATGCCTGCACAGTGAGGGCTCCAGGAAACCCCGAGGACGGGGTTCAGGGAGCTCTGGACAGCCGGACACACGAGGTGCCTGGAGGGTGGCGCGCTGGAGAGCCGTGGGGCTCGCGCCCGCCACAGCCCTCACCTACATGTTCCTCATCCGCGTCCATCTGCATCCTTGTGACAGCTTTATAAAAAAGGGTGAGTGCCAGTGAGTGTCGGCGGCTCTAGCAAACTGCTCCAGCCCGAGGAGGTCCAAGCACAGGCCACACCTGGCCTGCGAGTGGCGTCCTCAGTGGGGGCTCCCGGGGGACTGAGCCCCTGCCTGGGGCGGGAGGGGGACTCCAGGCAGACGGTGCTGGAATTGAACTGAACTGCAGGACACACAGCTTGTGCCCACACAGGGAACGCCTGGTGCAGAAGTGCCATGTGGCTGCGTGAGCGAAGAAGGAAAACATTTTGTTTTTTCTCTATGTTCTTACAGTAATGAAAAAATATATTGGTCCACAGTAGTCCAAACATACAAGTAAACTGAAAAACAAGGACATGAGTGACAAAAGAGCAGGCAAAACTAGACCTCAGAACTGAAAACCTTTGTGCATTGTCAAGAGAGTGAGAGGCGACCAACAAGGGGCGAAGGCACGGGCGGCACACACGTCTGAGGAGGGTGCGTACCCAGAATTCATAAAGGGACCTCACAACCCTCAACAAACAGCCCAATTAAAAAACAAATACACAAATGGACAATGGCCAGTGAAAGGTCAGCCTTGCTAGCGAAACAACAGAAAAACCATCTCGTTTCTCAGCAAGGGCTCAGGTCAACCGAAGGAGCTCTCGCCAACAGGCACTCACTCCATGGGGCTGTTTTCCTAACATCTGTAGAGAGCTGAGCAGGCAGAGAGGAAGTGTAAATTCTTCTCTGTTACAGTGCCTAGACCTATCACTTTACAGCCTTGAAGGGTCCCCAAGCCCCAGCTCCTGCCTGAAACCAAACCTCAATGGCAGATCGTGGACAAGATCTTTGACATCCCACAGCCGCTTCTGTTTCCAGCTCACTGCCAGGAAAACAGAAGCAGGGGATGCAGCAGTACCCAGCCAAGTGGGAGACAGCCATAAATCACCTTCCCCCTAAGTAAAAAGCCCGAGAAACTGGTCTCTGCGCCTAGCACGCTCTCCCTCTTTCACTTCCATATTGGCCCTTTTTCCATCTGGAAAAAGTAAAATAAGCTTTTCCTTCTTTCTATCCTAATCTCTGTGTAAGAAATCTTTCTCCACTCATGCTGTGAGCTCCTGGTAAGTTCGCCACTCTCATGGCCGGATTGTGCGTAAAAGCAGAACTCTGACCCAGTCTGCAGCAAGCAGCCCAGGGAGCAGAACACAACCTTTGCGTCAGTCGGCCCCAAGCAGCCCAGGCCTGAGCAATGAGCGAGAGCTTCCAACGTAGGACCAGCCAGAGGGCGCCGAACACATGCTGTGACCAATCCCTCGGGATGCCCCGCGACTGGGGAGCTGCCTCCAGACTCCCAGGCCAGCAGCTGCCACTCAGGACAGTGCTTTCTCCACCAGACAGTTTCCCACCCTCAGCCTGTCTCTGAGTCTCTGCCAAACCCCAGTGACAGCCGCCAACCCCTTGCTCCAGCAAGCACGGGCTGCACAACCTCGCTGTACTCACTGGATGAGCTCTGTTTGTTGCCACAGGGAAAACGATTTGAATAGATGGTTTTCCCAAAGAGATGTACAAGTGACCAATTGGCATGTGAAAATATGCTCAACTTCGCTGGGCATTAATAAAATGCAAATCAAAACCACAAGATAGTACTTCACACCCACTAGGGTGGCTATTAAAAAAAGAGGAAAAAATAACAAGTGTTGTGAGGATGTGGAGAAACTGGACACCTTGTACATCACAAGTGGTAACGTAAAATTAGCCACTGTGGGAAACAGTATGCAGTCCCTCAAAAAGATTACCACGTGATCCAGCCATTCCACTGGGGAACATACCCAAAGGAACTGAAAACAGGCATCCAGACAGACACTTGTTCACAAATGTTCACAGCGGCCTTAGTCATAACAGACCAAAGGTGAAAACAGCCCGAATGCCCATCAATGGGCCGATGGATAACCACACTGTGGTCTGTCCACACCACGGGCCATTATTCAGCCACAAATGGGAGTGAAGCACCGATTCAGCTACAGCATGGGAGAGCCCTGAAGACAGCATGCTAAGTAAAAGAAGTTGGACACAAAAGGTCACATATTTTATGGCGGCTTTTATGTAAAACGTCCACAATTGGCAAATCTACAGAACAAAAAGGAGATTAGCGGTTGCCAGGGGATGAGGGAGAGGAAACGGGAAGTGATTGCTTATTAGGTACAGGGTGGCTTTTCTAGAGAGACGAAAACATTTCAGAATCGGAGGTGGCGGCTGCGCAACATTGTGAGTGCACTAATGCCACCAGATTGTTCGCTACAAAACGGTTTCTGCCTGTCATGTGAATTTCACCTCCATTAAAAACAAGCCATGGTGAATTTCTGTCATAAGAGCCCCCCATCAGAAAAGTCTCACAGGACGAAAGTGCCAGCATGGGGTGGTAGTGGTGGGGGAGTACTTAATTCAGTAACAAGTCGGCCCAGAGAGGAAGGTTCTGGACAAGCTTCTGGAAGCTCCAGGTCCAAGGATGTGGCCGTTAGTCCTGGGAACCCCCTTGGTGACAGTGTCCCACCTGTATGGGCCCACTGGGGTCCCCAAGTAGGATTTTACCTCAGAGCTCCTGGATCCCCCCTGAGACCTCCTGAACAGGAATCTCGGGAGGGTGGTGCCAGGAAATCTAGATTCATGACAAGTGTCAGAGGCCATGGCAACACAGCCTCTAAGAGGACAGGGAGGTCCTCCCCCAGACAACCTGAGGCCTGCAGCCCCACAGACAGCAGCGCTGGCCAGGCTTTCTCAGCGGTGGCATCCTACCTGCACGACAAAGGAATGCAGCCCGTGGCACTGGCCTCCCGGCAAGTACAGCTGCGCAAACACCACCGCATGAGTGGCAGTCTTGCCCATGTTGCCAACCCAAAATTTGGCAGCTTCGAAATCAGGGGAATGTATGATGAATTCCTGCACAAGGGGAAAAATGCTAAAGTTATAATTAGCAACTGAAACACACATAGAATTATTTTCCTTTTCCATAGATTCAATTTTCTACGTTCAAGATCTTTGAGGCAAGAGTCAAAATTGATGCTATTTATGTATTTCATTTCCTGTATGGCACAGGTAGGCCATATTTTTTAAACAGAGCACATTTCTGGGTCGTATGACTTAAAGAAGAATCTTCCTATGGAAAATGATAACAAACGTTTCAGACAACAAAATAGGTGCAAAGTATTTTGTAGGCTGGCAGACACCCCAGGTCATGGTCGTCATCACACAACATCTGCTCAGAGGCTGTCCCAACCACACTCTCTAAGCAGAATCCTCTGCCCTGCTTAACATGGTGCCATGTACCCTACTGAATTCTAACTCAGGACACTATTATTCTTTCGCTCTGTCTCCATCTTCTTACTCCATGATTAAGGGCTATGCCCCAAATGCCCCCAGCGCAAGGCGACTCAGAGAGTCAGAAGGAATGCAGGAACCAGACCAGGCGGGCAGGAGCAGAGCCCGGCCAGGCAGATGGGCAGCTGCAGAGGGAGGAGGGCTGGGTAATGTCCCCACACTGCTCGCTGTGCGGGGCATGACAGTCGGACCTGCTTGCTAATCCCATACCACAGGCCGCCTGGCAAACCTCCTCCCCGCACTCAAATCGCACACAAACGGGAATCATGATGAATTCTCCTGCAGAGGTCACGGTAGGCACACGTTCTGCCTCTCAATCCCGTATCTCCTGAGCTCCCACTTTCCAGCGTGACAAATCCCAGTGTGTTTTATAAGCACGCATATGAGGACAGGCTTCTTGGTTTAATTATGTTTTTGTTCATAGCAATTTTATTTGCACTCATGATGCTTCATATACCCTAAACCCAGAGACGAGACAAAGGGAACCCCTACCTCTGTGGCAGGGTCGTAGTGAGCAGTCGTCCTAATGGCCTTGGTATTGCTCCCGTGGCTTACTTCGGTCAGGGCAAAACATCCAAAAATCTACATGTTGAAGCACGAAACAATGTAAAGCAAGAAGAGCTCCCTGAGCACATTCCTGGAGGGACTCGCCACCATCTTCTTTCCTTTAAGGACTAAACTGTGGATCAAAGCCCCAAATCCCCATTCATCCCACTAGTGACATGACTGGTGACTCTGTCACGCTGCCCCACACATGCCCCAGCAGAGAGGACGGCAACCAAACCATGGGGCGCAGCCTCTCTGAGCAGCACGGCAGCAAGAGCTGCTCTGTCAGGAGGAGGAGGAGGAAGCTGCAGTGTCTGCTCAGACAGTGCCAGGACTCAGGGTACCAAGTTTGGCAAGAATCGTGTTAGCAATGAGCAGCCTCAGAACACCGTAAACAAGGAAAACACCACACCCCCAGGCACCCTCTCTCGCCATCTTCCCTTTTCACACATCTTCACAGGGACTAGGTGGGAGAACTAGATTCACAGCTCACATGAACCTGAACTTACCTCCATACTGAAGACCTTCTGAATATATTCGAAATGCCTTTCAGAACCAGAGTTGTAAATTGCTGATCCAAAAGCCTGAAAACATAACATCATCATATCAATGTGAACAGATGGCAGCTAAGAAAAGTCCTGCCACTCTGGAAGTTCACTTAACACACCACCTCCGCCCCAGCCCCATATCAGTTCTTTGCACCATGCCTTTTCCCAAAGGAGGAGAACGAAGCTCCCAGAGGTCAGCCAATAGCACCGATACCAGGCCTAGGGTTTCCACAACACTCGGCTGCCCGGGGGGCCCTGAGTTCATATTATTGAGAAGGCCTGAGAATTTCAAGGGGACATGAAACTGGGGGACAGAGTGGTAAGGGAGGGAGTGCGGGTGTATGGAGCAGGGGGTCACCGGCCCACCACACAGTCCAGTCCAGGCACAGATAGGGCAGTGCCACCTCCCCAGGTTCATCTCTACCAACATGCTGGGAAGGAAGAAAAGCACAGGTCCATTTGTCTTTTTTTACATATGTATAAAGCAAAAAAAAGTTCCAAATCTCCTCTTCTTAGGGGACTTTAAGCTTCATAGCACCGTATTTTGTGCAAGGACTTATGTGTGCAAATTTGCACATACAGCCGAAAAAATGGAGTTTCTTTGATCCCACATGGCCCCAGGACAAAGCTCCCTCACGCTCAGCAAAGTGTGAACGCGCGCTTTCCCTCACTCTCTGTGCACGCTCACCATGGTGTGGAGGAAGTATTTGGCAGCCAGGGACCAGTCATACATGCCCAGGCAGTGAGTGAACGCCAGCATTTTCAGAGGGCTCCTAAACATGTCTTCCACGCTGAGGAATTCGTACTCGAAGATCCGCCTGCAGCGAAGGAAGTTCAGCTCTCGGTACTTCTCCAAGGACAGATGGGTGCCATGGGAACGGGCAAAGAGAGGATCGCTCTCCAAAGCTGAGAAGACGGTTTTCTGCAAACACAGGACACAGGGATGGCTTGTTTGGAGAGAAAGATGGAATCTCAATACATCCTTACACAGTTTTTCTCAAGGCCAGGGGCTCCAAGGGACACAGTCTGATCCAAAGACACTCAGAGACACTTCCCCTATTCCTCATTGATGCCCTGAGGCCCATCCTGGTGAGCAGAGGAGAAGGCCAGCCTCGCCCCAGAGGAGTGGCTTTCAGAGCCATAAGCCCAATTTTGCCAAGGAACTGGTCACTAACTAGATTCCACTGGGGACCAACAAGACAAGCACACACAGCTCACCTTAAAGCGGAGCGTGTCCTCGCCTTCCAGGAATAGTGACAGCTCCTTCCAGCTGAAGGAGGCTCTTGCTCGGTAGGCGTGGAGGGGTCCTTTGGGGAAATCTGGGAACAGAGCATCAGGGCTTCCTTCCAAAGTGGGCACCATTGCTTGTCACCAACCTGCACAAAATATATAGCCTGAACCAACATGTTCCATTCTACGGATCCATACCACCCAAGAACAGTGAAACCCACCACATTATAAGTAAGAGAAAAACTAACTGTAATTCCAAAGGTGCAAGCAGTCTGTGGGGAGATCAGCTACTTCTCCCCATGAGAAATCAGGTCCCTTAGGTAGAGGTTGTCACAGAGGATAAGAAAACAATAGGAAATAGAGAGAATAATGGAAATAAAAGAATACACAGAGACGAAGGTATAGTTTTATAGATTTATATAAAGAAATTAAGAAAATCGAGGGCACTCAGGGGTCCCCACGACATCCCCATCAGTTGTGGGGCCATGATGAGAGTTTCACATAAGTTGTTTTTTTTTTTTTTTGACACAGAGTCTCACTCTGTTGCCCAGGCTGGAGTGCTGTGGCGTCAGCTTAGCTCACAGCAACCTCAAACTCCTGGGCTCAAGCGATCCTTCTGGCTCAGCCTCCCAAGTAGCTGGGACTACAGGCATGCGCCACCATGCACGGCTAAGTATATATATTAATTGGCCACTTAATTTCTTTCTATTTTTAGTAAAGATAGGGTCTCACTCTTGCTTAGGCTGGTTTCTAACTCCTGGGCCTCCCAGAGTGTCACATAGGTTTTATAATCAGAAATATCAGTAATCAGTTGCCAGGGGTAACAGATTTACATAATAATAGGTAGTTCAGTCTAGGTTAAAAGTTTTTTCAAAGAACTTCTAAAAATTCCTAAACTATTCTATCTATGTGAACAGTTACAAAATCTTTCAAGGACTAACTTCCACATTCTAAGAGATAGCTATCATTTAACAGAGGGGTAACACAGAGATATAGTGGCTCCATATTTCTTTTATCTAGTTATTGTGGATTGAGACAATCAGGAGTAAGCAGGAAACTCAGCTCTTATGTTAACTGCTCTTAGCCACAAGTGTTTGTCTCTGTGCTGGGCACCATTGTTCCGCCTCTCATCCTAAGACGCCATGTATATACCTGCCTTGTCTTTCAAGAATAGAGGGGCACCACAGGTTTGAGACATCAGAAGCCTCCACTGCTTAGATACACCCTCCCAAGGCGAGGCAGCCTTTGATATGCAAACTAATGAGTTCACATATTCCTTCAGGGCAAAGCCCTGCAAAACTCCTGAAATCATTTCTGTCTTTAATATAGAAATATTGGGCGATATAATAAAATAATCTTATGAGCCACACCTTAATCATTCCTCTACACAAAGAGACAGCAAAAGAGAAACACCTGTGTTCCCAAAAGAGAAGTCAAGAGGAACTCTCCTGACTTTACCCCTAAACAAAGGACAACAAAAAGAAAGAAGAGGGACAGCAGCAGCCTGTGGACAGCACTGCAATACCTCAAGGTGAACAGGTGGGGGCATGACCAGGGCTGCTGAGGGCAGAGCCCAGAGCTTTGTTGGAGGTTTTGTTTTCTGTTGCCAGAGCCATGCCTGAGAATGTGTCATCTGCTGGGGGCACCCAGGATGTGCAGACACCACCCCCCAGGCTTGGCAAACCTGGGGCCCAGGAAGTGCTCCCTCTGGAATCCAGCCAGTGCTGGCCAGTCCACTCCAGCTGCACACGACAGTACCTAATGTCCCCACCCACCCCGGCCCGCCTGGATACAGGATGTCTGGCCCGAAGCTGATGACTACAAGTTTTTATCTTGTTCTCTTCTCAACATGCAGGCATCTGGCTTCCCACTAACAGAGCAGGCATCCTGAAACCCAGCACTCTTGACCAAAGGAGTGTTCTGGAATTTTCTGAATAGACTGGGTCCTTTTCTAAGTGCCTTGGCTAATCAAGGCATTGGATAGGAGTGCCTTGTTAATGCAGACCTGGGGAACATGGGTGCAAACCCCCTAGCTTAACTCTTTAAGGCCCAGGGGAACTTTTAAATTATTTTACTAGAATGTTGAAACAGCCTAAGATGTTGAACTCAGTGTGACTGGTCAACACTGCTGGCAATGTTTTCCACGTGGGGGGAGATGGGAGCTGCAAGTCTGTGTACCTGCCTGGGGCCCAGAGACGCTGCCCCTACAGAGCACATCTTATTTAACCCTCTAGTAATTGTGAAACAAGTCCTACCATCCCCACTGAAAGAAAATTGAAGCTCAGGCCAGGCGAGGCAGCTCACGCCTGTAATCCTAGCACTCTGGGAGGCTAAGGTGGGTGGATCATTTGAGCTCAGGAGTTCAAGACCAGCCTAAGCAAGAGTGAGACCCCAACTCTACCAAAAATAGAAAGAAGTTAATTGGACAGCTAAAAATACATAGAAAAAATTAGCCAGGCATGGTGGTGCATGCCTGAGGTCCCAGCTACTCAGGAGGCTGAGGCAGGAGGACTGCTTGAGCCCGGGAGTTTGAGGTTGCTGTGAGCTAGGCTGATGCCATGGCACTCTAGCCCGGGCAACAAAGTGAGACTCTGTCTGAAAAAAAAAAAAAGAAAAGAAAAGAAAAAGAAAAAGAAAACTGAAACTCAGAGAGGCTAAATGTCTTTCCAGAATCCCCTCTGCTGAAAAATGGGGAGGAGGGCGCTGCCCTAGCAAGGTCTGACCCTAAAGTCACGCTGTTCAGGCACCACCTTCAGAAACAGGAAAAAGGAGCACAAACTAAGCCTAATGCAAGCAGAAGAAGAAAACAATAAAAGAGTAGAGTAAAAATAAAAAAGAATAGAGAGAAATATAAAAAAATCAATAAAAGTTGGTTCTTTGCAAAGATTGGCAAAATTGGTGAATTTTTAGCTAGATTAACCAAATAAAAAAGGGAAAAACACAAATTTCTAATTGAGAATTAAAGGTAGGACATTTCCACTGACTTTATAGAAATAAAAAGGATTATAAGGGAATATTAGGAACCACAGTATGCCAACAATTAGATGAAATGGGCAAATTCCTAGAAAGTCTATCAAAACTGACTTATGAGAAATAGAAAATCTCAACAGACCCATATTGACTAAAGAGATTCAATTAGCTATCAATATTTAATCTTTAACTGCCCACAAAGAAAAACCAGAGGGTTTCAATTGTGAATTTTGTCAAACATTTAAAGAAGATTAGCACTTATTCAAACTCTTCCAGAAAATAGAAAACATTTTCCAACTCATTGTTTGAGGCCAGTATTATCTTGACACCAAAACCAGCCAAAGACATCACAAGAAAACTACAGACTAAACTTGTCTGTGCCAGCAGTGAACAAGCCTGTAGAGTGAGTGGCAATGTGCCCAACGCTTGCAATTGTCAAAAAGAATCCATTTGTCATCACACATGACAATGTGGTATAAAAATGATTTGCCTTTATGTTGTGACAAAAAAAGAAAAAGAAAACTACAGACTAACATCCCTCGTGATAGAGATGCAAAAATCCTCAACAACATTTTGCAAACTGAATGCAGTAACATGTAAAAAAGATCATATGTCATGGCCAAGTGGGATTTACCCCAGGAATGCACATTGGTTAAGCATTTGAAAATCAATTGATACCCTATACCAACAGAAAAAAGGCACAAAAATACTTATACATGATCAAGACAACAGATGCAGAAAAAACATTTGACAAAGTCCAACACTCTGTTGTGATACAAACTCTTGACAAACCAAGAATAGAGGGGAAGGTCGCCACCCTGATAAAGGGCATCTATAAATAGCCCCAGCTATCGTCACACTTAAATGTGAGAGGCTGAATATCTTTTCCTAAATCAGGAGCAAGACAAGGCTGTCCATGTTACCTCTTCAGCTCAACACCGTACTACAATCTAATTCTAGCTAATGCAACCAGAAAAGAAAATGAAATAAAAGGCATCCAGACTAGAAACCTATTTTTATTTGCAGATGACATGATCTTGTATGTCCTAAGAAAATCCTAAGAAATCCACCAAAAAACTATTAGAACTGATAAATTAATTCAGTGAGTTTGCAAGGTAAAGATCCATATACAAAACTCAACTGTATTTCTATACACTAGCAGTGAACAATTCAAAAATGAAATGAGAAAAACATTCCATTGATAACAGTATCAAAAAGTAAAATATTTAGAAATAAATTCAACAAAGGAAGTATAAAACTTATACTCTAAAAACTAAAAGAAAAAAGTTTGAAAAAAAATGAAAGATTTATATATGTGAAAAGACATCCATATTCATGGATCAGAAAACTTAACCCTTTGCACTCGCTTGCTTTTTTCTCAATTCCTTTATTTTACTTGAGATTTAATTTTTTAAATACCCCAGATTTTACAAAGCGCGGCAGTAGAATAAAAAACTGGAGTTTCTTTTCATACAAACTTATTTATTTGGATTTTTTTATATTTCAAATTATTGATACATTCTAAGAGTAATTTTAATCTCTATAATTTTTGCTAACCATGTCGAGTCACACTCGACATCCGAGTGCAAAGGGTTAACATTATTAAAATAGCAATCAATACTCTCCAATTAACCCATAGATTCAATGTAATCCCAATCAAAAATCCAGCTGGCTTTTTGCAGAAATTGCAAAGTTGATCCTCAACTTTACATGGAAATGTAAGGGGCCCAGAAAAGACAGAACAATCTTGAAAAGGAACAAAGTTGGAAGAGTCATATGTCCTAATTTCAAAACTCACTACAATGTTATCATAATCAAGAAATCCTGGTACTGGCATTAAGACAGACACATTCAGGTCGATGGACTAGAAATTAGAGTCCAGCAATAAGCCCTTACACGTATGGTCAGTTACTTTTTGATAAGGGTGCAAGATGATTCAATGGAGAAAGAACAGTATTCTCAAAAAATGGTGTTGGGACAACTGGACATCCACATGCAAATGAATGAGGTTGAACTACTTCCACACACATACACAAAAATTAACTCAAAATGGATCATGGACCTAATTGTAAGAGCTAAAACTATAAAGCTCTTACAAGAGTAAATCTTTGTAATCTTAGGTTAGGCAAAGCCTTCTTAGATATAAGATACGATATCAAAAGCACAAACAAAAGAAAAAGAAGATATATTAAACTGCATCAAAATTAAAACCCTTGCTGCAAAGAACACCATCAAGAATCTTAAAACTCATCCAGGCGTGGTGGCTCGCACCTGTAATCCTAGCACACTGGGAGACCGAGGCAGGCAGATTGCTCCAGGTCAGGAGTTCAAAACCAGCCTGATTGAGACCCTGTCTCTACCAAAAATAGAAAGAAATTAATTGACCGACTAAAAATATATATACAGAAAATTAGCCAGGCCTGGTGGTGCATGCCTGTAGTCCCAGCTACTTGGGAGGCTGAGGCAGGAGGATCGCTTGAGCCCAGGAGATTGAGGTTGCTGTGAGCTAGGCTGATGCCCTGGCACTCACTCTAGCCTGGGCAAGAAAGCGAGACTCTGTCTCAAAAAAAAAAGAGAATCTTAAAACTAAATAATAAAAAGACAACCCAATTAAAAAATGGGCAAAGGGTTCAAACAGATATTTCTCCAAAAATATAAAATGGCCAATAAACATGCAAAAAGATGTTTAACATCATTAGCCACCAGGGAAATGCAAATCAACAACACAATGAGACACCATTTCACAGCCATTAGAACAGCCAAAGTCAAAAAATAAATCAATACAAGTATTGATGAAGATGTGGAGAAATCAGACCCTCCTGCATTTCTGGTGGGAATGTAAAATAATGCAGCCAATTTGGGGAACAGTTTGGCAAATGGTTCCCCAGCAGTTCCACTCCCAGGTATGTACTGAAGAGAACTGAAAACATGTCCACACAAAAACTTATACATGAATGTCTATAGCAGCATTATTCATAATAGCCAAAAAGTGGAAATAACCCAAATGTCCATCAACAGATGAATGAATGGGTAAATAAAATGTAACAGAACCAGGCAATGGAATATTATTCAGCCATAAATAGGAATGAGGTACTAACACACCCTACAACATGGATGAACCTTGAAAACATGCTGAAAGAAGTCAGACACAAAATATCACATGTTGCGTGATTCCAACTACATGAAATGTCCAGAATAGGCAAATATATAGAGACATAAAATAGATCGGTAGCCCTCAGGAGCTGGGGGGCAGAAGGAAATATGGAGCAACTCCTAATGGGTCCAGGGTGTCTTTTTGGGCTGATGAAAACATTCAGGAATTACATAGTGGTAATGGTTGCACAACTCTGTGAGTATACAAAAAATTCATTGAACTGTACACTTTAGATGGGTGATTGTATGGTATGTGAATTAAATCTCAATAAAGCAGCTTAAAAAGTGTAAGGCACATCTCTCCATAGAGACCAAGTGCTCAAAAATGATAGCTGTAACTCAGGAGGCTGAGGTGGGAGATCACTTGAGTCCAAGCCAGGAGTTTATGACCAGCCTGGGAGATATAGTGAGACTCTGACTCAAAAAAAAAAAAAAAAAAAAAGCTATAAAATCCAAGGGAAACTCTGTATCTTTCTTTCTGGACTTCCCTGCATATGGCCCCTCCCTGTGGTCTAGAACACTACACTCCTCTTCTTCAGTCTCCTAGCGATGCTCATCCTCAGCCACTCTCCCTGCATCATTTCATGCACTTAAATTGTGCTCAATGCGTGGAGAGCTCCCCAATCCGCACCTCCAGCTCAGTGCTCATTTGGCAGTTGACTGGATACCCCTCCCCTCTCATATCCTGGAGGTTCCCACACTCTGAATGCTCAGCACTGAACTCACCCTCTCCCCTGACCCAGCCTCTCCCCCAGAGCCCCACTCCACACTGCCAGTGGCCCAAGGGCTACTCAAGCTATAAACTCCAAGTGTCATCCTAGAATTCCCCTCCCCTTGTGCCCTATAACCAAATCAATTACCAAGACCTCTACCACCACTTTAATGCCTACAGAATCCTTTCCTTTCTTTCCACCCCTATTAAACCTATCATAATAATCTCCAGTTGAGCAATCAATACTGCATGCAGGTCAATGTGGTGAGCAGCTACACCATCTCAAGTGTGCCCAGCAAGCCCAGGTACTATCAGTATTCTCAATTTCCAGGTGAGGAAACTGGAGCTTCTCCTAGTGGGAAGTAAATTGACCAAGGTCATACAACTATTATCTGGCGTAGCTGGCTCCAAATTGTAAGTCCCCGATGGCCCCATGCCACGGAGGTCACCAACCTGATGGTGACAAAGACAAAGATCGATCGTGAAGCCAGACTGCCTGGGTTCAAATTCCACTACAGCTTACTAGTTGAGTGACCTGTGCCTCAGGGGAGATAACGTGGCGACACTTGACTGCTGCACTGGTCTGCTATCTACGCTGCTGTCACCCACATAAGGCATTTAAACAGTTAATGGCATGGACGTGGAGCCTTCTTTATCCTTGTTCTGCCAACAGCTGCCTCCAGTCTTTCTCTTTATGCAGTGCAAGAGACTATTCTATAACGCCAAGCTGATCATGCTCCCTTTCGTAACCTCAGTGGACAACCTACAAATCCTGCAAACTCCTCTCTAGTTGGCTGCTGGCTCCCACAGCGTCCTTTCTGGGCAATCCCGCCCCCCCCCCCACCAGCGGCCCCGGCCTTTGTACCTGGGGTGCCCCCCGCTGCCCCCCCCCAGGCCTTTGCACCTGCGGTTCCCCACACACACATTTGCCCCCTACTCCGGGCCTTTGCACCTGAGGTCTCCCGCCCTCCGCATTTGCCCCCTACCCCAGGCCTTTGCACCTGCATTCCCCCGCGCCCCGGAGCTCCCTCAGGCCCCACCCTCGGACTCCCCAGCCCCGGAGTCCCGCACCGTCCAGCGCGCACGGCAGAACGCAGTGGAAATCTATCCGGCCGCGACAGCTTCCCGCAGAGCGATAACCAGCTGGCTCCCTGTGGCACCACTCCGCCTGCGTCCGCCCGGTGGGCGTGGCCGGACTCGGCCGCCCTGACGTCATCGCGCCGCGCCGCCCTGTCGCCTGGGAAACGCGGCCGCAGCCGCGGGAGGCTTGGCTGGCGGGCGGGGAAGCTGGACCTGAGCGCTCCCGGCCGCCCTCTGCCTCCCGCCGCAGGCCTGGCTGGGTGACTCCGGCAAGTCGCTGTCGCTCTCCGGGCGCCTGTAGTCCTGAAATGCGGGTTACACTGGTCTCCGAGTGTGCCCGGGGACCTTCCCGCCTTAGAAGCCCTGGGAGCTCTCTCCAGTGCGCTCCGGAGCGGCGGAAATAGCACCCCTGGCTGGGGCCTGGGCACCTCCAAGCTGGTGCACACGCCCAGATGGCGCTGGCGTCCGAGCCCCGGTCGCCCATTTAGCCAACTCGGTAGCGCGCCCTTTACCGTCCTTGTTCCTGCCCCTCGCTCCTGCGTGCTGGGGTCGGCTCCTCTGTGACTACCTGCACTCTGACCCTTGTCTGAAGGGCTGTCTGAGGATCCAAACTATTAATAACACACCCCATCTGAAACCTGCAGAGATGGAATCAACCGGACTTAGCAATTTGCCATGTAAAGAACAAGGAAGAAGAAGTCCCAGGGTTTCCATTCGAAGGGAATTAAAAGAAGATGGGCAGCACGGTTACTGGGAAGAGAAAGATAAGTTCAGTTTCAGAGATGTGTCACGTTTAGGATGTCTGTAGGACGTCTGGATGCGGATGCTCAGCTACGCGTGGAAATCTCTCTACTCCTGTTCCACTCTGAAACAGCTTCTCCTTAATTCCATGGAAAGGTTTTTTCTTCACAGTTATCACTCTTATTCAAAACAGACTTACAGGCTGAGCACGGTGACTCAAGCCTGTAATCCTAGCACTCTGGGAGGCTGAGGCGGGAGGATTGCTCAAGGTGAGGAGTTTGAGACCAGCCTGAGTAAGAGGGAGACCCCGTTTCTACTAAAAATAGAAAGAAGTTAATTGGACAGCTAAAAATACATAGAAAAAATTATCCGGGCATGGTGGTGCATGCCTGAGGTCCCAGCTACTCAGGAGGCTGAGGCAGGAGGATTGCTTGAGCCCAGGAGTTTGAGGTTGCTGTGAGCTAGGCTGATGCCACAGCCACTCTTGCCCGGGCAATAGAGTGAGACTCTGTCTCAAAACAAACAAACAAACAAACAACAACAAAATAAACCCAGACTTACAATTGTGGGTTATTAGTTGGGAAAGCAGAAAGCAGGGACTGAATTGACAACCAGGTGCCCAGTCCATGTCAGCGTTTCCAGCCTGGTGTCTGGGGCATCATTGCAAGTGGTCCTGAGTCCACAGGAGCATCCAGGATTGCTTGCAGACCAAATTAGACCCTGAATGAATCAGGGTCTAATAATACACACCACTGTTGAGAGTAATACCCATTCAGTGCAGAATTCACACCTTCTTTGGGTCACAGTTTCTGCCAAAATTACAACTACTAGTAAGTTAGGTTCACATGTTTTATTGACATCAGAAAAACATCTTTCGGCCGGGCACAGTGGTTCATGCCTGTCATCCTAGCTCTCTGGGAGGCCGAGGTGGGTAGATTGTTTGAGCTCAGGAGTTCGAGACCAGCCTGAGCAAGAGTGAGACCCCCGTCTCTACTAAAAGTAGAAAGAAATTAGCTGGACAACTAAAAATATATAGAGAAAAAATTAACCAGGCATGGTGGCACATGCCTATAGTCCCAGCTACTTGGGAGGCTAAGGCAGTAGGATCGCTTGAGCCCAGGAGTTTGAGGTTGCTGTGAGCTAGGCTGTCGCCACGGCACTCTAGCTGGGGCAATAGAGTGAGATTCTGCCTTAAAAAAAGAACGAAAAAGAAAAACATCTCTCTACTGGGAAATCGTTCGGGTTCATTGAAGGAGTAAGGGAGAGAGAAGCTGTTTCTAGGCAGACACTGGAGGGCATGTTAAAGGAGAAGAATTTGAAGCAAGTGGTGGGCCAGTCCAGGTGAGAGGTGAGCCAGCCTGAGATCAGGCTAAGTGGAGTTGGAGGGTGGGGAGGGAGCTGAGTGACTTTCCGTCAGTTCTATTTAAGTTAGGGTGTCATCACAACATGACGTGAAGGAAACACACAAAGCACATGTTTCCAGCCTTGGGGATGTCCTCAGACTCCCCTCCCTTCTCCCTCTCTTTTTCCACCATCCTTTTCTCATATTTGTCTACCTCCTGACTTGTCAGGGCTGGCTCATGGCAAGTGTCAGCCTCATCACTTCACTCTCTCCATTTAGTTTCCTGAATTGGTGACTAGGTTTAAGACTATTGTTCCCAGCTCTGACCATGGTTTACCCCAGGACTACCCCTGCTCATTTGCTTGTCCATCCTGCTCCAACCGTGGTTCCCTCCTAGGCCTTAGGACACTGGCGGACCTGAGAATGTCATTGCACATCTCTATGTGCAAACAGGTGGACACCAGGACATACAGGATGGTGGTGAGGTTGGAAGAGAGGACAGGGTCGTGCTCCTGTAAACTAAAATAAAACTCTCAGCCCCCCACTGACTGAATGCACCCCTCTTGTCCAAGGGGACCCCAGAGAAGCCTTAAAACTGAGTTCCCAGCCATGACAGGATAAGAGGTCAGACACTCATCCCCTACTAAAGGCCATGATGCTTTTTTTCCTTAGGGCCAGACCAGCATCCTTTCCCGATAAAAGACCACCAGCCATGCAGTGGTTTTAAACAAACTTTGGAGCATGGCAGAGAGGATTTTCATGTCCTTGTCTCAGCGTTTTCACATCGAGGGGACTGTTTCTAAACATGGACCCCCATAAAGAAAGCTCTGTTGCACAGTTTCATGTTTCTCTTTTCATAAACATTCATGACTCCTCCTATAGCTTGTTAACTATGTATATTTGGCCACGCTGCTCAGCATAAATTCCTGTTCCCATTGTTCCTGCCTCAAAGCACATGTTCCTGGCTTATGACTGGGGTCCCTGCTTTCCAGCCTGCCAGCATGGCCACCCTCAGGTGCAGCATTTTATGAGAAGTAAAGCTCTCTTTTCCACACTATGAACTTTGTTCTTTCTTCAGCTAATATTCTACTCAGTGTTGTGTTGCTGGGACCTGGTTAGATTGAAATGCCACTGAAACTGGCTTAGAGGGAGCAAGAAAAGGAATTTGGTTTTGTTGTGAGGGCGTTCCACCAAAACCTGCCTGTTTCACTTATCCTATATTGAGCAGCTACTAATACTCACAGCTAATGAGGTGATTTTTGGATCATACTTCTGATTGGCTGACTACTATGTAAATGAAATAACTTTTGGGACATACTTCTGATTGGCTGACTACTATGTAAATGAGGTGACTTTTGTGAAAACTTGCCATTGGCTAACTGTAACCCCCCAAAAAGTATAAAACTAAAAGAAAACGAAAAAGGGGCACTCAGAGTTTGGTGGCGGATATGCCTCTTTGAGCCCGCCGGCGAAATAAAGGTGACTCTCTGTGTGCCGCTGGGGTTTTTCTTCGGCCAGGAGCTGTTCACACCTGCTGGAATGTGGGGCGCGGTGGCAACGTCATTCCAAGATGGTGCCCGCTTCCTGGTCAAACCCTGCTGTTAGTCTGACAAACAAGTGCTCAGCGCATGTGCAGAGTTTGTCTCCTCCCTTCCAAGTGCCTTATCCAATCAGACAATGCCCAGTGTACTTACTGCCTTTATAAGCAGCCACCGAGAACGCCTCGGCGTCCTCCGCATGTAACCAGTTAAGCAATCCTCATTAAAGCGCTGTCAGAAGAACTCCGGTTGCCGCGTCTTCCTTGCTGGCGAGGCGGGCGCGACACTGGAACATTGTTAGCTACCTCCTGGCAAACTGCTGGTGTTGAAAGGCCCAAACTAGCCTAAAGGCCCAAACTAGCCTAAAGGCCCAAACTAGCCTAAAGGCCCAAACTAGCCTAACCAGCTTTTCGCTTCTGTAACTATGCTTGCTCTTAGGTAATTAAGACCCCTACCCCTCCCTTTTTCTTTCTTTTTTTCTTTTTTCCCCGTAAGTGTCGGTTGCAAGTTCTCGGAATTGGGTAGTGGTCGTGCAACTGGTTGTGCAAGATGGAGCTACTGGAATTTCCCCACCCTAAACTTCCCGGCCACCTGCGTGTGGTCTCGCCCCATAAAAGCCCTAAGCTTGAGAGCTTCGGGGCGGCAGCTTCCCCATCTCGGTGATGCTGCTAGCCCCTGCGCTGCGCTGGAAAATAAATCCTCTTGCTCTCTTGCATAAAGCCTCTGGACTCTGAGTCTTTTTGGGCGGTCGTCTCTCTCCCAAACGGGCTGTACATTTCTACGGCCCAACAGTGTGAGCTGTAGTGGAAGAGGGGGCTCTTAGGGTAGCTCAGAGACAATGATCCCCAGGAATTCTGCCATCAGGCCCCACCTACCCCCTCTTTTGCTCATTTTGACATCCATCCCATTTCCTTCTGGCACACCCATTGCCTGCTCCCTGCTCATTTTTAGTCATCTGCTCAACTGGCCATTATTGGCAACTGCAATTATTTGAAGAGCACATTGTTAAAACTAAAGTTGCCTCCCACCCTCTGGGCATCTGTCTCCCTTTGTCACCTCCTTCCTCTGTCTCCCACTACCACCTCCCTTGCTGATTTAGAATTCACAGAAGCCTGTGTGGGAAGGAGCCACTGGCACACTGGACTGGGAATGGCCCTATCACAGCTCAGTCACTTCCTTCCCCCCAGTTAAATCACATTAAGTAGTAGGCAGTGAGAATGGCATTAGAAAAGAGTTATGGAATATAAATGTAAAGGAAAATAAAAATCTCAGGACCACCCCCCACCTCCTGATGCAAAACGGAAGGTGAAGCTTTGAGGCTGAGTCCTGCGACACCCTCTTCCACAGGAGCAGCTGCTGCTAACATTGTGCATCAGCCAGGTCTCCGAGGAAAGCTCAGAGGCCTCAGGCATCGACAGACTGCCCCACAGACCATTCCTGAGGAAGTTCCTTGCTGGCCTGGTATGTACACGGACATGCAAATTGTAACTTTGGATCTGCAGAC